TTGCAGTGTCCCGGAGTCATATGATTCCCTTTTGCAACCTTCTGACAAGCAAAGTCAAAACATGGGTCTTCAGACTTGGCCCTTTTATGACTTGTGGACTTCAACTCCCAGAATTCCTCAGCCAGCGTGCCTGGCTGAGGAACTCTGGGAGTTGAAGTCCACAAGTCATAAAAGGGCCAAGTTTGAAGACCCCTGACTTAAAATAACTGTGTTACTAACTTAACTGCAATGCTTCACTTAACAACGGTGGCAAGAAAGGTCTTAAAATAGAGCAACGCTCACTTAACAACTGTCTCGCTTAGCAACATAAATGTTGGGCTCAATATAGGTTGTAAATCAAGGACTACCCATACCTCCAGAAAAAATGCATGTTTAGTGGGAGACTACATTGTCTCTTTGCATCTGTAAGTTCTTTGACTAGAAAGCAAACTGGTGAAAGAAAGATAAGAAGAAGGGCCTTTACATAATGTGCTTGTGTTTGTTTTTCACTACTGTAAATGAATGTGTTTAAAAGACAAAAGAGGACTATCCTGTCCTTCACACTCTCTTTTGGGAGTCCCCCTCTTTAAGATGAGGTTTAGATAAAGGAAAGTCTTATAAATTTCTTAATACCTAGCTACTTCCAACTTCAAATGCAATGAATATCTGTTAGTGTTCAGGGTCAGTGGGATAAAGTGCACACAGTACTCTGTATCCAAGACAACGTGTTATCTTTCCAATGGGATGTTCTGCTAATCATTCAGTATTCTTTCAGCACATTATTGATATTTAGGAGGCCATCCCTATGACAGAGGTGGGGAACTTTGGCTCCTTCATGATGTGTGGACTTCAACTCCCAGAATTCCTGAGCCAGCATGGCTGGCTCAGGAATTCTGGGAGTTGAAGTCCACACGTCATGAAAGACCCATAGCTCCCCAGCCCTGCCCTACGAGAATGAATTCAAAATTCCAACAACTGTATAAGCCTTTTAAAATGTCATATTTAAACAATTATGTTGAAGAGAATGCCAGGCGACTGGTCATTAATCAAGGACTGGACTAGGACCCTGAGCTATGGAAGTTTATGAAGTGAACATGGGTCATGCACTAACTTGTAGTCTAATTATTCCATGGGGAAATTTTTGTCTGTGAGAGGGGACAATTGGAGGAGGGAAAGATATTTAAACTCCCAGAATTCCTAATCAGTGGAAGATGGTACTAATTGAGGATTGCCCCAAGGATCTAGACCTTGGCTTAGAATCATGTTTCTCAACCTTGGCAACTTTAAGACTTACAGTTGCCAAGGTTGAGAAACACTGTTTTAGAATGAAAGTTTATCCACCCCCTTCCTTAAGCAAACACGTTATTGTTCTCAGATTTTTCCTTTCGTGTTATTGCCGGTTCTCCTCAGCACTGCAACTATTCCAGAGTTTGGTTTTTGTTTTTGTTTTTGTTTTAAAAAAAACAGAATTCAAATTTATTTGAGGAGATTAAAGGTAGGTATTAGAATCTGCTCTACCCAGCTTCTAATAACCCCAATCTTGGTTTTTAAGTCTTAAGCTTGTTTACATAGGAGTTACACACCATAAAACACAGGAATAAAGAAATCCAAGCAAGTGAATAAATGAAGCAACAAACTATTTATTTATGTTCCACCTTTATTATTTTTGCAAATATCTCAAGGTGGTGAATATATCCAACACACCTTCCTTCTCCTATTTTCCCCACAACAACCCTGTGAGGTGGGTTGGGCTAAGAGAGCACTGGACCAAAATCTCCCAACAAGCTTTCGTGCTTAAGGCAAGACTAGAACTCTGTCTCCTAGAGCAGGGGTCTTCAAACTTGGCAAGTTTAAGATTTGTGGACTTCAACTCCCAGAATTCTTCAGCCAGCCCTGGCTGGCTGAGGAATTCGGGAGTTGAAGTCCACAAGTCTTAAAGTTGTCAAGTTTGAAGATCCCTGTCCTAGAGTGATTGGCCTAAAGCGAGCCAGCGCCTTTCATGCCCAAGGCAGGACTAGAAGTCAAAGTCTCCCGATGACTGTCCCAAAGTCACCCAGCTGGTTTTCATGGTTAAGGCGGGACTTGAACTCACAGTCTCCCAGTTTTTAGCCTGGTGTCTTAACTACTAGACCAAACTGGAGCATTTTGCTTTTTTTTGTGGGTAGCATACCAGCTTAGTAGAAGAGTGTCTTACCTTCATTCAGCTTAGAAGGGGATGCAGCCCTTAGCTGGTAAATATTTCTGTCAATGAGTAATTTTTTGCTAGCTTGTTTTCAAGATAGTTACACACTCGGGTAAATATTCAATACGATCTGTAATATTTTTCTTACATGCTGGAATTCTTGCGGAGAGTCCAGCAGCCAAATGTTCCTGTTGCCATCTCGTTCCCCTCCCCAATCCAATTTTTGTTGAGAAAACTTTTCCATTTCACCTCTCAGTGTGGAAATAACCTTTGGTTCCGCAACATCTATACAAACTTTCAGGACAAGAACAGTTTGTTTGTCTTTCGAATCTTTTGAAAGCTTTGGGAAGAGACATGTAGAAATTGCTCCAACAACTGAGAGCAATTAAAAGACACAGAACAGTCGCACCTAGAAAACAGGGAGGATAAATAAACTCTCCTGATGTCAGGAACACAAAAAGAATTAATCTGGTATGGTTATGAAATCGATGTCTAAAACAGACAAGCCAACATGGTAATAAAGAAAACTGAAACGGAACTGAAGAGGGAAAAAGTGAGCATTTTCAACAGTTGCAATATGGGAAATCTAAAAACCATGCAACCAAAATGCACACAACAGAAAGTTTCCCAGAAGGATTTAAACTTCTTCAGCTAATTAGACATATATTTTTCAGCATTCTTGATGGAGGCTATATCAATAATAGTCAATCATGAAGATCTCCTTGACAGCCAAGTCACCAACAATCTAAAAATTAAATCCAAGGATCTCTGCAGAAAATAGAATTGCATTTGTGGGTCAACCCTAAACTAGCAAGGTCCACTTTATCACATGCCAACTAAAGTCAAAGCCGTAACACCAGAACTTCATCAGCTAATTCAGCCACATGCTTTATCTTCAACAATGCAGGAAATAGCATTATCTTCTCTATCCTTAAGATAATACATACATACATACATATACACACACATACCACTGTCACACTGTGATAGAAAAGAAGAAAAACATTTAGGCCAATGCAAGATAGGGGGGGGGAGGGAGGAAATTTTCCCTAAATTTGATTTGTTACAGCCCCATTTTACTAAGCTCCACTGTACCCTAACCCCTTTTCTGAAATATATAGGAAGATACTTTATATAAGTGGTCATTCATACAGCTGTCTTTTATGGCTGGCAATAACTCTCAGCCCTACCAATGGGAACTAACGGCCCTAACTAAAAGAAAGTTTTACAAAGAACACCAGGGCTGGTGCTACAGTGTTTGTGTATTCTTTGCTGTTTTTTTAAGCAGCCCAAACCATTTTTTACTGATTGGCCAATGGTCTTTCTATTCCAGTGTTGCAGGCTCTGATTAGTGTCAGTTTGATCTTTGACAGAGGAAGGGAGGGAGGATAGTAGACTTACTGAGCCTAAGAGCAAACTTTTACAAATAAAACAGATGTTTCACCAACTGAATACACGGTATCTTTTGCTGCCTTAAAAACAAAATTCAAACTGATGGAGGGAAGGGAGGAGAAATAGAAGGGAAAGAAGAAAAACTTATTTCAGATCATTAGGCTTCTACCCCAATCAAATGTTTCTTGGTTTGTCAATCCAAGATTCCCTTATCAACAGGTTAGGAGAGCTCCAAACCTCTTCCTCACTATTCTGAGATAACTGGGGCAACTTTATTCACTACTCTCTTTTTCCAATTGTTCATGAAAATAATTCATCAAAAAATAATTTCCATAAAATGAAAAAGTCAGCATGATGTGAAGATTAGAGTAATCATCTCTGAAGCTCACTGATCAAGTTAGTCACTCTTATTCTCCCTGACTTCAGATGATTGATTCAAAAATGAAATATTGAACTCTTGTGAGGGAAAAAAACACAGAGAAGGGAAGCTACAAGTAGAATACCTCTGTTCACAAAATACTATTGAAGGATAGACTATTGCTACACTACACTAACATGGATTTTAGGTGAACTGCAACACTGAAAAAGAAAGCCAATATAATATAAAATGATTCTACCAAAATTTGCAAAACTAGTTGTTTTAATTGTATGATCCTCAACAATCACTTTCTTAAAACTATGGGGAAAGTACTATACAGTGTGTTATCAATCCAGATCTATCTATTTAGGAATTAGAATACTTTCCTTATTCTCAAATGTTGGGAGCTGGGTGATTTAAAAAAAATGACAGGAAGATTAACCATCTTTCCCTGCTCAATCTTCCAGCTGTTCTTCTAAACAAGAGGTCAATTAACTTTAAGCGTTCCTAACCACGAAGAATGGGGGAATTAAACTTTGATCCTTCATCTCAAATGAATGCGGTCAGATTTAAGCTTTTTCAACCTTCTTTCAACTAAGGGAGGAGCTAACCTTCAGCCTCCACTGCTTTTAGCCAAAGGAACAATAAAAGGTCTTTTAATTCTTAACCTCCACAAAAAAAAAACCATTAAGAAGGGAAAGAGGTGGCAAGGACCCCCACCTTAACCATGTGTCCCCCCTGCTTTCAAGTCAAGTACACTAAGTCAAGAAGGAAAGAGGGGAAGTTATCCACTGCACTGCAGCTCAACAAGTTCATTCTTTCTCTACCTTATTTTTGATGTGTGTGTGTGTGTGTGTGTGTATGCACATGTGTGAAAGATACAGGTTAACCGTCTCCCTAATTTAATTATATGTTATTTAGGTTGAAGGGAATTCCCCTCTCTATTCTGGATGGGAATGTGGGGCATAAGGAAACTAGCTTGTTGTAGACACAAAGGTCAGCTTTCAACAATACCTACAGCAAAACCCAATAGGTTCAAGCTTCCTTCCCCAACTCAATTCAAGGGGGGGGGAGAGGGGAGCAACTCACCTTCAGTCTGACCCGCCTTCCTCTCAAGGGAAAAGACTATTAACCCCTTCTCTACTGGTAAATATGAAGAAGGGAAGAAACTCGAGTTCTCCACCCTTTGGAAGAAGCAATATTTGAATTAAAACCACCTGCATATTAGAACCAGGGGGTATTTTTTTTTCTCCCCCCTCCATATCTTTTTGGACCCCCCCTCCTCTAAAAGAGAGAGAAAAGAAGAATTTGTGCCTCCCCTTTAAATCGAAGGGGGAAGAGATGGTCCCTCTATATAGCCCCTTCCTTGTCAAGGGCAGGGGGCCAATTAAGCCTTTATTTTTCACCCCTAGTCTCTCTTGGAAGCAGGGAAATGAGCCTTTATTCTCTCATCTGATCCAAATAAGTCTGAAGGTGCCCCTTCCCTTTAGGAGAGTACAAATTAGCCACTGTCACACTTAAGACCGGGAGGGGGGGAAAAGAGAATTTGGCTTTTAAGTTACACGCCTTCCCCCCCCCTCCCCGGCACAGCTCAGCAGTCTTGGAAGTCCCCCATTTCAGTAGAATGAGAAGGACTTTAAAAACTTCCCTTCCGACTTGCCTCAATATCATCCCCAAATCTGTCCCTAAAGAGGGGAGAAACACTCAGACGGCCCCCCTCTTTTTTATTTATTTATTTTTTTGGAGGAAAGGGGAGCAACTGCATATCGCACATGCGCACTCACCCCTCCCTTCAGGTGTCTTTGCTCTCCCAGCTGCTGTCGCCAGTGTCGTTCTCGTCTCCTCTAGACTTATCCCTTCGAGACACGCCCCTTATGTCCTCGTCTTGGCCAATCAGCGCAGTCCGTTTCAAAAAGAGGCGGAGGAGGGAGGAGGAGGAGGAGCGAGGCGAAAACTAAGGGGAAGGAAGAAGGTCATGGCAGACGAGGAGGAAGCTTCAGTTTGTATGATTGGCTGCTGCTCTCGCCAATAGAGATAGAGAAAGCTGATACGTGCAGGAGGGGAATGAAGGCTCAGAATAGTCCTGGAGGAAGGTGCCCAACCGGGATGGGCGGGGTTTGGTGACGGAAGGCCACGCCTACAAGGAAGATTATGGGAGGTGCGTAAAGTAGATGCCTGGTATTTTGTCTTGCTATTTCTTATCACTCTAATTTAAATCTGTATGTGTGTGTCTACGCAGTTAAGTATTGGGTTAATTTATGCTTTATTTATAAATTTATTAAAAAATTATTAATTTTTGTTTAAGCTTTACTTGGCGTTATTTGTGGGTTAGTACTCATTAAGAAAACACTTAACATCAGAATACAGTGAGTGGCATGATAATTTCATTAGGCATTTTACAAAAAGTAAATTCATATCTTGCTCAATAATTGTGCATAATAAAATAGTATACATTTGTAATTAGATATGACCCCACATATATACATATAACTATACATTTGTCATATGCAGCTTTATCCTTTAATCTTGTAATATAGTTACAAGGCTGTTTATTGGTTAGATTTTTATCCTGCCTTTATTTGTAGTGAATACAAGATGGCATACAAACTCCCGCTTTCTTATTTCTCCACAATAATCCTGAAAGGTAGGTTGAGCTTGTGTGCTTTGGTTATTGGAATATTTTAATCTATATTTTAGTCTAGCAATGAGTCCAAAGTGTTGACCTCCGTAGGTTTAATCCCTTTAAACAAATGTAATTAGTTTTACCACCTGTCTATGGCTTTTAGAAAGTTTTCTTTGAAGATAAACAGGCTTAATTTAAGGCTAAAGCTTTTTTGCAGTTGCCGGAGCCTTTCAGTCTTGGATTGCAACATTGTGATACGTGATAAACCTGAGGCAGCTTTTAAAAAAAAAGGCTAGAGTTTATATGTTTCTTTATTTTGTGAGCCTTTGTTGCTTTGCACTTGATTCCTGTGTCTTTAAGGGTACAGGGAAGGGATTGGGGAGGGGGGGGTGCATTCTTACTACACTCAAAAGGGAGAGAGGAAGAAGGGCCGACCAGCTAGCTCAGGGGTCTACCAACTTAGCAACTTTAAGACCTGTGGACATCAACTCCCAGAATTTCTCAACCAGCCATGATGGGGAGTTGAAGTCCACAATCTTAAAAGAGCCAAGGTTGAAGACCCCTGAGCTAGCTGGTAGTGGTGCATATTAATAAACATGGATAAGTTCATCATACGTTTGTCAGTGCAAAGGGAAAGTGATTCAGCAAAGGAACAGTCACCCAAGAAATTAAAACTGGTACTATTTTACTTTTTTTCTACAGTTTGTAATATTTTATTAGATTATAGAATAAAATACAAAAATACAAAAGCAAATAGTAGGATACAGTGGGGAGGAAAAAGGGGGGGGGAAAGTGAGGTGGAGAAGGGAAAAAGAACAGACTTCCTCTGTTGCAGTAGAAGGAAGCATTAACACTGAACCTCAACTTTTTACTTTTCCATAATATTATAAACTAGACATTTCTATATCAACAAATGAATCTAATCAATAAAACCCAAAATCCTTCCCCCCCCCCTTTTTTTTTTTAGTCATCAAGTTTTTGACACCTTGCTAAGCACTGGTGGTATTCAAATACTGTCATGTTCTAAAAGTGGTACAATCTGTGAAAAGGTTGAAAAGCCCTGTCATGGACCAATAGTCTTTCAATACAAGATAAAATAGCTGGAAGCATTAATATAAAACCTCAATCTTAAATATTTTGGTTGCGTAATGTGTAGGCAAGAGTCATTAGAAAACATCCTAATGCTTGGAACAGGACACAATAACGAAGTGCAGAGGCACCACACTGGCAATATATTGTCAAGGCTGTTATTTTTCCTATAGTAACATGGTGATGAAAGCCACACTAACATGGTGCTGTAAAAAAATGTATCAGAAATCATTACACAAATATATAAGATTGTAATTTCTATGATGATATCATCTTGTGTCTGATATTACCGTAGGATTATTGAGGCGGGATGTGGATGCTGTTCCCTGAACCACAGGAATTAATAATTCATTATAGATGTAGAAAAACCAGGCTGATGACTGGAAGCACTAAGAATAAAGCTATTATGGACTGGGACAGGAATCATTGGAGAAGACCCTGATGCTTGAAACAATTAAAGGCAACTGAAAAAGAGCTAAACCAAAAGTTAGGTGCTATCATTGGTGACACAGAATATTGTGTAGGTGCTTACGAACACCTCCAATAAGTTGTGATGAGCAAATAGTCTTAGCAAATTATTATCCATTGACTCACAGAAATAACTGAGCAATAAACACCCACGTTTTATCAAGCACATAAGTTTTGATCATGCAACTACAGGGATGCTGCAGCAGTTCCAATTGCAAGGACCAATTTGCAAGTCTCTTCTCTCAGTGCTGTCATAACTTCAAGAGGTCATTGAATGAATGATTATGAAAAGCACCTGTAGTAGTTACAGAGTATCACGCCTTTGTAACCTTTCGGTTAGACTACTGTAACAAACTCTACAACATGGGGCTGCTCCTGAAGACCATTGGGAAACTCCTACTACTGCAGAATGTAGCTACGTGGGTAGTAACTGGTACCAGATACATGCACATGGAAAATCATTTCTGTGTGAGCTGCATTGGTATGTTTTCAGGTGCAATTCAAGATGCTGGTGGTTACCTTTCAAGCCCTATATGGCTTGGGACTGGGGTCCCTGAGGGATCATCTTTTTCTAAGAATCTCTATCCATCCAACCAGATCGAGCAGAATGGGCATGCTGCAGATCCCGTTAGCCAAAAAGTGTCAGCTGGTGATGACCAGAAGACAAGATTTTTCTGCAATGGCCCCTGCTCTATGGAACATCCTCCCTTCGGAGATTAGAATGGTCCCAACCCTGTTAGCCTTAAGGTCCTAAAAAACCTGCCTATATTCCCATGTCTGCAGTGTTGAATGTGTTTAGGGCTCCGTTTCCTGCTCGGTTGCTAACTGGCCAAATATCTTGCTCCACTGTATATTTAATCTGGATGTTTTTAGTGTTTGAAAAATGTTTGGAGTGTTTTTAATGGCAACGTATTTTTTGAATTGTAAGCCACCCATTGACTGAGAATGGGCGATAGTTAGAGAAATTAAATAAATAAATACGTAATAGTGTAACATGTTTTCCCATGCTTGAATGAACTTTGCTTTTGCTCAAGGAAGTCATTTGTTTAGGATTACACAATACACTGAACCTTAAACTGATGGATTCCTTGGATGGTACTTTATGTTAATCTCGCTCATTTTGTACGATTAATAATTAAGATGTTGGTCTATGATAGGAAAGATGGAGACTTGATCAGCTTCCTGAATTATTTTAGGACAGTCCCTCTCTTGGCCAAAGGGTCAGGGGGGTATGATGATGGGGGTTTAACTGGTTTAACATCAAGGAAACTTAATTTCCAGCTCGCCCTTAGCAATGGAATACCACTGGATGATTTTGGATTGGTCATCCTCCCCATCAAAACTATTTCACAATCCCTGTGCAGGAAGAATTGGAGCAGGGAGTACTATGCATAGCTCTGCCTGGATAAATATATCATTATATACCATAAATGTATAATTCTGTGTGTCGTGCAACCCCATCAAATTGGATTATAATATAATATAATAATAAAGTTGGAAGGGACCTTGGAAGTCATTAAAGTCTAACCCCCTGCTCAGGCAGATAACCCTATACCATTTCGGACAAATGGCTGTCCAGTCTCTTCTTAAAAACTTCCAGTGTTGGAGCATTCACCGCTTCTGGAGGCAGGTTGTTCCACTGGTTAATTGTTCTAACTGTCAGGAAGTTTCTCCTTAGTTGCAGGTTGCTTCTCTCCTTGATCAGTTTCCATCCATTGATTCTTATCCTGCCTTCAGGCACCTTGGAGAATAGCTTGACTCCCTCTTCTTTGGGGCAGCCTCTGAGATATTGGAACACTGCTATCATGTCCCCCCTCATCCTTCTCTTCATTAAACTAGACGTACCCAATTCCAGCAACCGTTCCTTATATGCTTTAGCCTCCAGTCCCCTAATCATCTTTGTTGCTCTTCTCTGTACTCTTTCTAGAGTCTCAGCATCTTTTTTGCATCGCGGTGACCAAAACTGGATGCAGTATTCCAAGTGTGGACTTATCAAGGCATTGTAAAGTGGTATTAACACTTCACATGATCTTGATTCTATCCCTCTGTTAATGCAGCCTAGCACTGTGTTGGCCTTTTTGGCAGCTGCAGCACACTGCTGGCTCATATTTAGGTGATTGTCCACTAGGACTCCGAGGTCCCTCTTACAGTTACTGCTATTGAGCAAGGTACCCCCTATACTATACCTGTGCATTTTCTTGCCTAAATATAGAACCTTGCTTTTTTCACCATTGAATTTCATTTTGTTAGATAGTGCCCAGTGTTCAAGTCTGTCTAGATCCTTCTGTATCTTAAGCCTGTCTTCTGGAGTGTTGGCTATTCCTGCCAGCTTGATGTCGTCTGCAAATTTGATGAGGTCCCCATCTATCCCTTCGTCCAAATCGTTGATATAGATGTTGAAGAGCACTGGGCCCAGAACAGAGCCCTGGGGTACCCCAGTACACACTTCCCTCCATGTAGATGCGGTTCATTGAGGACCACACGCTGAGTACGGCCGGTCAGCCAGCTACGGATTCATCTGGTGGTGATGCTGTCTACCCCACATTTTTCTATCTTGTCAAATAGTAGGTTGTGATCTACTTTATCAAATGCCTTACTGAAGTCCAAGTAAAATATGTCCACAGCATTCCTCTGATCCACTAATATTGTCACT